TAGTAGTAGTAGTAGTTAGTAGTAGTAGTAGTAGTAGTAGTAGTAGTAGTAGTAGTTAGTAGTAGTAGTAGTAGTAGTAGTAGTAGTAGTAGTTAGTAGTAGTAGTAGTAGTAGTAGTAGTAGTAGTACAGTAGTAGTAGTAGTAGTAGTTAGTAGTAGTAGTAGTAGTAGTAGTAGTTAGTAGTAGTAGTAGTAGTAGTAGTAGTAGTAGTAGTAGTAGTAGTAGCAGTAGTAGTAGTAGTAGTAGTAGTAGTAGTAGTAGTAGTAGTTAGTAGTAGTAGTAGTAGTTAGTAGTAGTAGTAGTAGTAGTAGTAGTAGTAGTAGTAGTAGTAGTAGTAGTAGTAGTAGTAGTCAGTAGTTAGTAGTAGTTAGTAGTAGTAGTAGTAGTAGTAGTAGTAGTAGTAGTAGTAGTAGTAGTAGTAGTAGTAGTAGTAGTAGTAGTAGTTAGTAGTAGTAGTAGTAGTAGCAGTAGTTATATTAGTAGTAGTAGTAGTAGTAGTAGTAGTCAGTAGTTATATTAGTAGTAGTAGTAGTAGTAGTAGTAGTAGTAGTAGTCTGACCTGAAAAATACCTCAAAAAACAGACATTCTGACTGTGAGCGGGGTCGCCTCTCCACAGATCTGACCTGTAACTTGGTGTGATTCAGTCTCCATGACGACAGAAACGTATAACACCAAACAGCGGAACATTCCAGACAAAGCGCCACAGAGAAAGGCATTTGACGTACCCCGAAAAGTCACACAATGCACTTTTGAGTACAGTATCTGAGTACTTTTACTTCGTTATTGTTCCGCCACAGTAACAGGACGGAGTTACTGTCGGATTTAACTTTCAGTCTTGAAGTGATCGTGACTGAAGTGTGAGTAAAAGTTAAAAATAGCAGAAGGACTAAGACTTAAATCATCCACAGATAAACACGAGAGTCTGAAGCACGCACCAAAATAACACTGCGACTATAGTACTACAGATACTAGTACTACAAGATGGAGTTATATTTAGAACTTTTAACCGTTAGCCCCGTGACTCATGACTCAACTCTGTGTAAAAGTAAAAGACCTAAAGTAAACAGACCTAAAATAGAACATCTACACTGTCTTTACTCTGAAACAAACCTGAAATGTCGTCTTATTTGTATTACATTGTGTTTTGTGGCTCAAAAATACCCCAAAAAACACAAATTATACCCTGTTCCGGCTCGCCTCTCCATAGATCTGACTGAGACAAGAAAACTCCTCCAGGAAAGTTACACACTGAACCTTGAAGTAGATCTTTTCATGCAGTACTTTTACTTTTCTTTGCTCCGGTATCAAATATTCCACAGTAGAACATTTAACATATCCCAAACTGTAAACTGAACAGATTCAAACATTCTTTTGTGCCACTCGCTGTTAAACTGCTAAACTCAGATAGTGCAGTTAAAAAATAATTATAAAGGCTTAGGGATGTGCAATGCACATAGGTAGGAATGTGCAATTAAAGCTACACATAGGCTAAGGAATGTGCAATAATTAAATCTGCACATAGGCTAAGGGAATGTGCAATAATAACAAAAACTGCACATAGGCTTAGGGAATGTGCAATAATTATAACTAAAACTGCACATAGGCTTAGGGAATGTGCAATAATTATAACTAAAACTGCACATAGGCTTAGGGAATGTGCAATAATTATAACTAAAACTGCACATAGGCTAAGGGAATGTGCAATAATTATAACTAAAACTGCACATAGGCTAGGGAATGTGCAATAATTATAACTAAAACTGCACATAGGCTTAGGGAATGTGCAATAATTATAACTAAAACTGCACATAGGCTTAGGGAATGTGCAATAATTATAACTAAAACTGCACATAGGCTTAGGGAATGTGCAATAATTATAACTAAAACTGCACATAGGCTAAGGGAATGTGCAATAATTATAACTAAAACTGCACATAGGCTAAGGGAATGTGCAATAATTATAACTAAAACTGCACATAGGCTTAGGGAATGTGCAATAATTATAACTAAAACTGCACATAGGCTTAGGGAATGTGCAATAATTATAACTAAAACTGCACATAGGCTAAGGGAATGTGCAATAATTATAACTAAAACTGCACATAGGCTTAGGGAATGTGCAATAATTATAACTAAAACTGCACATAGGCTTAGGGAATGTGCAATAATTATAACTAAAACTGCACATAGGCTTAGGGAATGTGCAATAATTATAACTAAAACTGCACATAGGCTTAGGGAATGTGCAATAATTATAACTAAAACTGCACATAGGCTTAGGGAATGTGCAATAATTATAACTAAAACTGCACATAGGCTTAGGGAATGTGCAATAATTATAACTAAAACTGCACATAGGCTAAGGGAATGTGCAATAATTATAACTAAAACTGCACATAGGCTTAGGGAATGTGCAATAATTATAACTAAAACTGCACATAGGCTTAGGGAATGTGCAATAATTATAACTAAAACTGCACATAGGCTAAGGGAATGTGCAATAATTATAACTAAAACTGCACATAGGCTTAGGGAATGTGCAATAATTATAACTAAAACTGCACATAGGCTTAGGGAATGTGCAATCAAAACTGCACATAGGCTTAGGGAATGTGCAATAATTATAACTAAAACTGCACATAGGCTTAGGGAATGTGCAATAATTATAACTAAAACTGCACATAGGCTTAGGGAATGTGCAATAATTAATAGAACAGAAGAATGCAAGGGTTTGCCTGTTAAGGATAATTTAAGGGTCCTGTTGGTGCATCACTCGTGGTCATACTGGTCTCATATTTACTTTGTTTTATGGTGTTTGTTTATGTGCTGCTTTGTGTTGTGTCGTCCTGTTTTTTGATAAAACATGTTACCCCCTGTCCCAAGACAAATATCTCCCATGGGAGACAATAAAGGATTATCTTATCTTATCTTATCTTATATCTCTTTTTCATTTTATAGCCCAAAAATACCTTAAAAAACATGAATTTTTACCATGTACAGGCTCGCCACTGCATAGATCTGACCATTAACCTGTCTCCATTGTGTTTACAAGCAAGTGTATATCCTGACTTATGTTAATATCTCCATGGAGACAAGAAAACTCCACCAGAAAAGTTACACAGTGCATTTTTAAGTAGATCTTTTCATGCAATCATTTTTATTCAGTATTTCTTTGCTCTGTTTCTTTTTTTTTTTTTTTTTTCATTTGATTATACACATAAAACAGACATTCAAATTCATCACATAGATTAAAAAAATAAAAGAAAAATCAAAACTAATAAAGGAAACAGAATGAAAAAACATAAGCAGTTCTTCGTTTTAGGAAGCATCAGCACAGCAAAAACTGAAGGGGTAAAATATTTCACTTTTCATTTTCACTTTTCATTTTGTTTTTAACACCAAAAAGTGTCATTTTAACTATTTGAAAATTTAAACGGGGGCTGGAGCTGGGTGTATTCGCCAGAGTTGATATTGTTGCAGTTAATTCAACTTCGCCTAGTGTTCATTTGGGGAGAGAACACTGAAAAAAACAATATTTAGGTAAGTTCAAATGACTTAAATTAAGAACATTTGACTTTATTTGATTGTAAAATGATCGACCAGTGGAACAAGTGTGTTTTTCTTAATTCAAGCAACATTTGATCCTGTTTCTAATTTTAAGTGCAAAAAGTTTTAGTTTTTCTTATTAAGCGCAGCAAGAAGTATTTTCATATTTTAAGTACAAAAAGTCTTGATCCACTGGCAGATCATTTTATCCAGGCTGGCGCCACCTAGTGCCTCCGCTCAATTTCATTTCTCTCCAGTGACTAGATCAGGAATCAGAACACACTGACTAGACCAGGCATGTCCAAACTATGGCCCGGGGGCCAAATGCGGCCCTCAGAAAAATTTTCTTGGCCCTTAGACTTCAAGGTCAGTTGGCCCATATGACCTTGCATCAATTAAAAAAATATTTTTACTGCAAGTTTTTTTGAAAATCTTCCTTGATAAAGCTAAAGTTTAATACTTAGTGTGTGGTTTTAATGATCTTAGCATGAATAAAGACTGATGGTTCATTCTAATGTGTTAAACATGCATATATTTCAATTATTCACTGTATTGAGCTTCAGTCTACGGCCCTCGATCGGCCTCTGCTTCGTCTGCATTTAGATTTGTGGCCCTTGATGAAAAAAGTTTGGACACCCCTGGACTAGAAGGTTCACAAAAACCCCGGAAGTCGTAGACCGAAGAGCTGCGAAGTCCTGACATCAAACTCAAGCTCCAGTCTGTGTCCCTTTTGTGTTTCAGCACAACAGTAAACAAAGCGTCGAGACGGACGTAGACGAAGACAGACGTTCTGTGTTGGCGACGATTCCCCAGATCGAGGATTTAAAGCCGGAACAAAGTGAAACCGTCTCATGAATCAAACTAAGATAATTTACTCAAATTTACTCAAATCATGATAAAACTTTCTTAATTTAAGTCATTTAAACTTGACTAGATTTTACTTTTTGCGGTGAAGACGAGTTTGAACCAGTTTTGAACAGAAATTCATCTTAAATTAACTAAAACAAAGTGTAAACTCTGTGTTGTTTAGCTAATTCAGGATAACTCTACAAAGTGTTATCTGTTTTGTTTACTCTCAAAACGTGAACATAACTCTTGATTTTGGAGTTAAACAGCAACTTTGGTCCAGTGTTACTTCATTAACACTGACACAAAATGATAAATTAACTCTAGAACAGATTGGACTCACAAAAACCCAGAGAAAATGTGAAAAATTATGACGTGAGAGTCAATTTTAACACGTTTTTGCTGTGTTTTTTGCTTTGTATTTGTACTTTTACTTAAGTAACGTAACGGGAAGTGCCGGAAGAAGTACTCAGGTTTGTTCCCCGTCTCAGATCGCCGCTGTCCCGTCACTCTGTCCCGCACTTACCGGCACCTCTGCAGTGGAGAGCGCCGTGCGTCACAGCGGAGCCACGTCAGTTTACGCACGCCCCCCCCCCCCTCCTGCTCCAGACGCAGAGTCCGCACACCGGGTTCACTGGGACACTCTGCGGCTCGGAGGCGCACCGCGACACGAGGTAAGCCCCGCACCGGCACCCACGCGACGTTTTCGTGAGTTTTTCTTTTCTTTTTTTTCTTTTTTTACGTAAATTCTTGCACGTGAGACGAACCGCTAGCGAAAGTCGTGCGTAATGCGTCAGTTTTTACGTGCCAAAGTCTGCGAGCGGCTCTCTCCCCCCACGCACACCGCTATGTCATTGAACCAAAAGTGGAAATGCGATGAAATGATCAGAAAAAATCGCGTTTGGAAGCAGATTCGCGGTTTAAAAGTTACGTTTGTTGGTTCGCGTGTGTTTTAACTCTTAGTTTTTTTGGTTTTTAATGGGCGTGTCCCGGGGCCCTAAACCCTTTCTCCAAATGTAACGGGCTATTTTAGGAAAGAGCGATGCCTTAAACAAACTTAGCAGTATTTTACGTATGCAAATTATTCACGTTTTAACAGACGAAATTGATTAAAAATAAAAGAAACGCGATGATTTAAGTTCGTGCGGAGAGTTTCAGACGCAGTTCTTGCCATAAATAGACACGTTTTCTCCGTCCGTGCGAGCGAAGTGGCTGGTAAAAACATTTAAGGAGAAAATGGTCAATAATTCCGAACGTAAACGTGACGAGTCCACGTCATTAAAGAGCCCGTATTACGCCATTTTCTGATCTATGATTTAATGTAATTTCCTCTTCACAAACAGACCTGGAGTTGTGTTTTGTTTCATCAGCTTATTCATTTTGTTTTCAGATTTATTACAAACTTATTAGCTCTGAATCGGTGGTATAATCTTAAAAATGGTCACATATATTTCTTCCATGACTCAGCTAGTCAGATAAAGCTTAAATTTTGACAATAAATGTTTAAAAGAAGAAGCTGCGATCCATTTACCAAAGATTTCCTCTGCAGCACTTCTCATGTTTTCAGTTTTTGGTGGAGACATGATCAGCTAAACCCCCCTCCAGATGTTTTATGAATTGTTTGGACCTGAATTGAGTCTGGGCAGGTCCAAAATAAGTGAGAGCTGGTTTCATTTTTCAGTTTGTGTCCATTGTTCTTCTAAGATGATTGTTTAGTGGAAAACAGTGATGTAGAAGTTTGTAGCAGATTTGTCTTTGCTTGTCGGTGATGAGATATTTGTGAGGTCGTGTCGTCCATCCATCAAATTTCTTCCGCTTATCCGGGACCGGGACGCGGGGGCATCAGTCTAAGCAGGGACTCCCAGACTTCCTTCACCCCAGACACTTCCGCCAGCTCCTCCAAGGGGCCCTGAGGTGTTCCCAGGTCAGACCAGAGACATAGTCCCTCCAGCGTGTCCTGGGTCGTCCCTGGTTCCTCCTCTCGGTCGGACATGTCAGACTGTCCACTGCGTGTATTTTTATTACTCAAAAATGCATTGAATATCGTGCATTCTCACTGTGAGAGGGAGCGCCTTTCCACAGATCTGACCTGTAACTCAGCGTCAAGGTTCTATATCACACAGAACTGATTAGTGTGAGCTTTAAGTCATGTTGTAATGTTGTTACTCCTCAAAAACAGACCAGGAGTTGTGTTTTGTTTCATTTAGTTTCTTAGTCTGTTTTTTACATCTCCAAAGCTCTAAATCACAGGTGTCAAACATAAGGCCCGGGGGCCAGATCCGGCCCTCCAAGACCTTTAATCTGGCCCTCGGCTGATTTTCTACTTAAATATTTTAATGATATTTTCTATTAAAATATTGTTAATTTTCTGTGGTGTTTATCACAGCAGCGTCTCCAGCGTCTCTGTACGTGGCCCCTCCCACCAGAGCAGCACAAATGAAGACTTGTCTCTTTCCAAACGCTCTTAAAGGACGATCGTTTTGACTGTTGACCGTGACACCCTCATCAGAAAAATGTCCAACATGAGAAAAGTGGAGCCGAGAGCAGGATTTTACAAGAAAAACCTAATTATTCCTAATATAATGTTAAAACACTGTGCTGAAATTGTATTTTTCTTAAAGTTTCAGGTTGTTCATAATATTATAATATTTTGTAAAAGAAAGAGTTCATCAATTAAAAAAGATTTCTGTCAATAGATTTGTGTTTCTCTGCACAAATATTTGCACTTATTGTTATTTTTGGGGTTTATATGACATGAGTTTTCTGATCCGGCCCCTTTGGGATCAAAGTCAGTTGGATACGACCCCCGGACCAAAATGAGTTTGACACCCTTGCTCTAAATGCTCTGGTCCACCTTGTGATGTCATGAAGTAGTAGTTTTCAACAGTTTTTAACAGCCACTTTTACCTTTAGCTCTGTAGAGAGAGATCGGCAATTCCAGGCCTGAAGTGATCCGAATGATTCTAGTGAAGGTGTGTAGAGTTTAAAAAACACAAAAAACACAACTTCAGGTTTTTTTTTTCTTTTTACAAATAAAGTTTGAGACAATGGCAACGAGGACACCACAGCATTTATACTCAGAGATAAGACGAAAACAAAATCAGTTTAGACTAGAAGCTCAAGGTCTGGACACTCCCACACACACTGCAATATGCAACGTTTTGTTATTATGGACATGTCCTTGTCTGGAATGTTCCGCAGTGTGACATTAAACAGCTCGACTTTACATTTATTCAATTACAGGTGGTTTTAGAGCTCAAAAATACCTAGAAAATCTCCATGAAGATAGATCAGATGGAACATAGAATTCCAGACAAAGCCATAAATCTCCATGGAGACGAGCGTTTGACGGAGCCTCCACCAGAAAAGTTACACAATGCAGCTTTAAGTAAAACAGCTAAGAAACTAAACGTGAAAATGAAGATGCAGGAGTCAAGAGATCGTAAGTTTAAACATCTCACAAACTGTTTTCTGAACGGCCCAAATGAGGTAAAAGTTTTCTGATGTAAACGTTCAGTTCCCGTAACAGTGTCACAGTGGCAAAGTAGTTAGCACCGTCATGTCAGAGCCAGAAGGTCATGGGTTCAATTCCTCGACCGCACAAAGACTCAATAGAATATAACAACAAAGAGTAAAAATGTAAATGAAAAAAAGAGCAAGAGACTGGGGTCAAAGTAAAGCATAATTATATAAATGTTAATGCACAAGTCAAAATAAAATAGAAAAATAAGTAATAATAATAAAAAGGAGTTTGCATGTTCATCTGTGTTTGCCTTAGAGAGTTTATATTACGCAAAATTGACTCTTGTGAGGTTTAAGTCACGTTCTAATGTTGTTCCCTCCTCAAAAACAAACCCGGAGTTGTGTTTTGAGTAACTCTCCAAAGCTCAAAATGCTCTGTTCCACCTTGTGATGTCATGACGCTGTTGTTTTCAAACTTCTTTTACCTTTAGTTCAGTAGAGATTTACAATTCCAGGGCTGAAAATGATCCAAATGATTCTAGTGAAGGTGTCTGGAGTTTAAAAACCGCAGTGGAGCACTTCTTGTATTACCACGTGACATCACAAGGTGGAACAGAGTGTGTGTTAAATACTTGTGAATAATCTGGAATATTCCTTGAGCCAGGCGAGTCGGCACTGGGGGGCAAAAGCGTCTGTTGTCCAGGGCCCGGGGTCTTAGGGGCCTAGAATTTGACCCTTTTCCTATTCATTTATATTAGAGGGGGTTTATGTGAGGTTTTCTTGCCCCAGTTCCCTAAATTTGTGTCTCCGGGCCTGTCCAGAGTCTGTCCAGAGTCTGTCCAGAGCCTGTCTAGAGCCTCCAGAGTCTGTCCAGAGTCTGTCCAGAGTCTGTCTAGAGTCTGTCCAGAGTCTGTCCAGAGTCTGTCCAGAGTCTGTCTAGAGTCTGTCCAGAGTCTGTCCAGAGTCTGTCAGAGTCTGTCCAGAGTCTGTCCAGAGTCTGTCCAGAGTCTGTCCAGAGTCTGAGAGTCTGAGGTCTGTCCAGAGTCTGTCCAGAGTCTGTCCAGAGTCTGTCTGTCCAGAGTCTGTCCAGAGTCTGTCCAGAGCCTGTCCAGAGTCTGTCCAGAGTCTGTCCAGAGCCTGTCCAGAGTCTGTCCAGAGTCTGTCCAGAGCCTGTCCAGAGCCTGTCTGTCCAGAGTCTGTCCAGAGTCCTGTCCAGAGTCTGTCTGTCAGAGTCAGAGTCTGTCCAGAGTCCTGTCCAGAGTCTGTCCAGAGTCTGTCCAGAGTCTGTCCAGAGTCTGTCCAGAGTCTGTCCAGAGTCCCAGAGTGTCCAGAGTCCAGAGTGTCCAGAGTCTGTCCAGAGTCTGTCCAGAGTGTCCAGAGTCTGTCTCTGTCCAGAGTCTGTCCAGAGTCTGTCTGTCCAGAGTCTGTCCAGAGTCTGTCCAGAGTCTGTCCAGAGTCTGTCCAGAGTCCCTGTCCAGAGTCTGTCTGTCCAGAGTCTGTCCAGAGTCCTCTGTCCAGAGTCTGTCCAGAGTCTAGAGTCTGTCTGTCCAGAGAGAGTCTGTCTGTCCAGAGTCTGTCCAGAGTCTGTCCAGAGTCTGTCCAGAGTCTGTCCAGAGTCTGTCCTGTCTAGAGTCCTGTCCAGAGCCTGTCCAGAGTCTGTCCAGAGTCTGTCCAGAGTCTGTCCAGAGTCTGTCCAGAGTCTGTCCAGAGTCTGTCCAGAGTCTGTCCAGAGTCTGTCCAGAGTCTGTCCAGAGTCTGTCCAGAGTCTGTCCAGAGTCTAGAGTCTGTCCAGAGTCTGTCTAGAGTCTGTCTAGAGTCTGTCAGAGTCTGTCCAGAGTCTGTCCAGAGTCTGTCCAGAGTCTGTCCAGAGTCTGTCTAGAGCCTGTCCAGAGCTTGTCCAGAGTCTGTCTAGAGTCTGTCCAGAGTCCTGTCCAGAGTCCTCTGTCCAGAGTGTCCAGAGTCTGTCCAGAGTCTGTCTGTCCAGAGCTGTCTGTCCAGAGTCCTGTCCAGAGTCCTGTCCAGAGTCTGTCCAGAGTGTCCAGAGTCTGTCCAGAGAGTCTGTCCAGAGTCCAGAGTGTCCAGAGTCCTGTCCAGAGCCTGTCCAGAGTCTGTCCAGAGAGTCTGTCCAGAGTCTGTCCAGAGTCTGTCCAGAGTCTGTCTGTCAGAGTCTGTCCAGAGTCTAGAGTCTGTCCAGAGTCTGTCTGTCCAGAGTCTGTCCAGAGAGAGCCTGTCCAGAGTCTGAGTCTGTCCAGAGTCTGTCCAGAGTCTGTCCAGAGTCTGTCCAGAGCCTGTCCAGAGTCTGTCCAGAGTCTGTCCAGAGTCTGTCCAGAGTCCTGTCCAGAGCCTGTCCAGAGCCTGTCCAGAGTCTGTCCAGAGTCTGTCCAGAGTCTGTCCAGAGTCTGTCCAGAGTCTGTCCAGAGCTGCTGCAGTGTAATATTAGATGTTCTGATGACGCGTGCAGAGGAAACACTGCAAACTCATCATGTGTCAACCTTTGTTTTACAGATTCTCTGATTCAGCCAAGACCCCACATCTGCACAAACATGGTGAGTACAGACCAGACCAGGACTGGACCAGGACTAGACGGAAACTAGACCAGGACTAGACCAGGACTAGACAAAGACTAGACTGACACTAACCTGGGACTAGACTGAGACTAGATTGAGACTAGACCAGGACTAGACCAAGACTAGACTGAGACTAGACTGGGACTAGAAACAGGATTAGACTGAGACTAGACTGAGACTAGACTGAGACTAGACCAGGACTAGACCAAGACTAGATTGAGACTAGGCTGAGACTAGACTGAGACTAGACCAGGACTAGACTGGGACTAAAACCAAAGAACAGAATAGATACTTTTAAAACATAACTGACATAGAAGATTTTTGGAGCCTGCAACTATTGATGCACCAATCCAAGTTTTTCTGCTCCAATACCAGTGTCAATACTTTGGCTTTAAGTATCTGCTGATACTGAAACTGATACAAAGGAAGAAACTGAATATGATTTATTTTCTTTAAACACAAGTTAAGGAAAAAATGATCCAAATGAGTTTGAGGTATTTGTTCAATATCCAATACTAGTATTTTAGATACCATATAGTATTTGCAGCTGTAGTAGCAGCACATGTTGTGGTTGTAAGTTGTAGTATGAGCACTAGCCAGTAATAGTAGTAGTAACAGCAGCAGCAGTAGTAGTAGTAGTAGTAGTAGTAGTAGTAGTAGTAGTAGTAGTAGTAGACACAGTAGCTCACTCATCACATTATAATATAATAACTCTTTGTTATTATATTATAATGTGATGTTTGAGATGCTGTGTCCAAATAATTTATTTTGTGGATCCATAAAGTTTGTCTAAGTCTAAGTAGTAGTAGTAGTAGTAGTAGTAGTAGTAGTAGTAGTAGTAGTAGTAGTAGTAGTAGTAGTAGTAGTAGAAGGAGGAGGAGGAGTTATAGTAGTAGTAGGAATAAAAGTAGTAGTAGGAGGAGGAGGAGTTATAATAGTAGTAGTAGTAGGAGTTATAGTAGTAGTAGTAATAGTGTAGCAGCAGCAGTAGCAGTTAGAGTAGTAGTAGTAGTAGTTTTTTAGTAGTAGTAGCAGCAGCAGTTGTAGTAGTAGTTCTAGTAGTAGTAGTTGTAGTAGCTGCTGTAGTAATAGTGGTAGTAGCAGTTATAGTAGTAGTAGTAGCAGCAACAGCAGTAGTTGTAGGAGTAGTAGGAGTAGTTGTAGTAATAGTAGCAGCAGTTGTAGTTGTGGTAGAAATAGTAGTAGTAGTAGTAGTAGTAATAGCAGTAGTAGTAGTAGTAGTAGAAGTATTAGCACCATAAAAAGTGACATAGATGTGATCAGTGGAGGAGACGGTGTCCAGATAAAACTTGGATTACGTCGGATTCACTCTCAGTGTTTCTGGGTTTGGGCTCATGTGTTTTTTACCAAAGTTTTTTTCACTTCTCGATCTGATATTTTAGCTCTTTTTTATTTTATTCTAGTGACATTCTGGGGTGTGTCTGATTGTGACAGGAAGAGCATCTGTTTTATAAATGTGCAGCTGGTTCTCTGTTGGCGTGTTTGTCCACACATTCGAGCTCTGCGTGTGTGTGTGTGTGTGTGTGTGTGTGTGTGTGTGTGTGTGTGTGTGTGTGTGAGTTTACGTGTGGTTCTTAAGTGTTGTGTTTCAGTCTTTTGTCCCAATGTTCTGTCCATCAAATATTAAAGATCTCTGTTCTGATGTCGTTTCCTCGTCACAAACAGACCTGGAGTTGTGTTTTGTTTCATTCACACGTGGTTAATTAACACACAAACTCTGGAGATTTATTTTTGCTCTGGTATCTGCACTTTTACTTAATTATTAACCAATTCCGTTTCCACTGCAGAGTGAGTGTGTGAGTGTGTGTGTGGGTGAGTGTGTGAGTGTGTGAATAAGTGGGTTGGTGGTCAGTTTGCGTTGCCAGGGGCTTGTGTTTGCTGTTGCCGGTCGTCTCAGGCCTTACAGCTGTTCAGACGAGTGACAGGAGACAGGGACAGAGGGGCGGACTGAGCATGTGCAGAGTGTAGGGAGTATTTTGGCCGTTTGCCTGGTGCAGAGCAGCTGCAGTCAGGACTGTAAACCTCATATGACTGAACTCTGTAGTGTACATGGTGTTCAGTCGATAGTGGAACGATAGCTGGATTTTTAAATCTGATTGTAGTGGACCAAACAGAAAGGCAAAGACAAGGTATAAAAATAAGTTTAAATTTAATAAAGCCAAAAAAGATATAATTTAACAAAGGCTCAAATTAGGCAAATTATTAACAAAAAAGCTGGGCCCAACTGGGGTAACTCAAAATCAAACTGAACAGAACAAAACTAACCCAACCAGACAAAGGAACAGGTGTGTTTAAATACCTGAGGACCAACTAAAGCTAAACACAAGAGGGAGGAATTACACTAATTAACTAACTAAACCAATAACTTAATCAAAGTAAACAAAAAAGCAAATAATTATAATACAGAAAATAATAAGTGATAATAATGTGACCTTAACACAAACTAAACAAATTAACTTAGTAAAAACAAACTAAATAGTGCTCCCCCCCTTTGCGTCCTGATGGTCTCTCCCAGGGTCCGTCCGTCCGGTGCTCAAAAAAACAAAAAGAACAAGTGTAAGTAAATTAGACTTATATTAACTAAAATGCGTGCAATCAAATTAGAACATAAGTCTAAATAACGGAATTAAATTATGTGTAGTGTAATTAACTTACTGTAAATAATAATGAAAATTAAATCATACTGACACTATGGAGCGGTGGCAGAGGGATCCACCACACTGATCCTCTGTCGCAGTGTGAGACTGGGTCTCAGGTGGGTCACAAGAGATTTTATTTGGAAGCCCTTGTCACAATCTGCATGTAGGTCTGCAAATAGTTAAGGTGGCCGCCTTGACAACAAGTGGGCCCTGCATAAATTATTACAGCAACATCACATGACTCCGAGGAAGACGCTAGTGAGCAGTCGAAACTGTCAGGTATGAAAACAAACTCTTGGTCTGAAAAAAGAACCTATTAACATAAGTGGGCCGCGCCTTGTCTACGTTCCTCCGAACCACGAGAATCCTCACAAAACTACGGTCGTTGCCCCACTCACTCCACACTTTTTCGGCAGCACCGCCTCGCCTCACCAGTTTTCTGTGGAAAACACTGAACATACAGGGCAACATTTAATGTCCAAATACTGTAGGCGACTTATGGATCCTTTTATTGCTGCTTCAGTTATTGTTTTTCATTGTTTAAAACTTGAGTAATACTTGTTCAGAGACACAATCACTCAGTCAACAATAAAATATCCTCATTAATGTTCAATAATGGGCAAATCCAACTTTATTTTGTGATTTACCAATAATGTCTATTGACTTTTAAAATATGGATCCCCAGAAAAAAAGTTTGGGAAACACTGCTCTATCGGTCTTCAGTCTCCAGCACAGGCCCACACTTTGTTTTAGTCTTTAGTCCAAGTCCGTGTTCCCATAATGCATTTCACCATAATTAATACACTTTTTCGTCTACAAAAAATATTGACCAGGACAATGTTTATTTCTATGACATGAGCGACACATTGTAGAGTGAGTGTGTGTTTATGTTATTAGGTTCTTTTCTTCAGACCTAGAGTGTTATTTCATACCTGACAGTTTCGACGGCTCACTGGCGTCTTCCTCAGAGTCACGTGATGTTGCTGTGACGTGTCTGGTCGGCTGATTTAAACAGGTTTTGGCGCTGTCTTCCTACCGGTGGAGGCAGGACGACAGCGCCACCTGCAGTCCCACTTCCTCAGGACAGTATCCCAGGTGTGTGAGAGTAAAAAAGCCCCTCGTCCCGGTTTACAGTCCTGTGGGCACGTTTCCGTATTTCGATTGCTTCTTTAATCCTCTTGAGTGTGTGTTTAGTTTGCGCCGTAACTGAGCCGTGCCTGCACCCTCAGCGTCCCTCAGAGTCCATCTTAGGAAGGTCCTGATCCTTCTCAGTCAATAAAGTGATGAATGTTCACTCATGATGGATCCACGAGAGGCACTGACCTCCTCCTGTTACGCTCATGTGCCTCAGACCTTCTGACCAGACTGAGAAAATGTTAACGTGAAGTAGTAGTGAGGGCTTTTGTTAGGTTTATCTAAACATTAAAAAACAAGTAGAAAGACAAGAGATTAATTCAGTTTTACTCGCGAGGAGAACGGGCAGAGAGTGGGCATCAAAACCAACAGTCTCCACACGTTCTGATGACTCAAGGCCGTTCTCCTCCTTTTATTTCATTAGGAGGCCCTAGTTACAGAATGATAATTCTCAAGGGGAAGGGGAAACAGCAAAGACATAATAAGAAACTGATGCAGCTAAGCATAGTACAAACACATAAAACATGATTAACAATCAGGAGGTGCCTTAGGTCAGACACCATCATAACTCTTGCATGTGTGACAGTGGGAGTTGGCTTCATGTGAGGAATCATCTCGAGGTTCACTAGAGCGACAGGACACTGCACACAGTTGTCAAACACACAGAGGTTATTCAACAAGTGACAAGTGATTGGTACATTATAAATCAAAGAATTGTAGTACATAAATGGTTAACTCATAGGCCTAGAATATCACACAAGTATTTAGCAAATATGGGATAATAAAATTATTCTGACATCTTTTTTATATGATCAGATTCTTTTAGATCAGTTTATTTTAAAGAGTTTTAGTAAAGTTTATTGTGATCAAAGCTTCTCACTCATGTTTCCTTCTGTGCTGATTCTTGTGCTGCTGGTGGTCAGAGGGGCCGACGGTCGCTGGAGGTCAGGGGCGGACTGGCAATGCGCGTGTTTTGGCAAAGTCCGGAACAGTCGGTCAACTGTGGGGCCAGTTTTTTCCTTAGGCAGGTTTGTGGGGTAAAATTCCAGGGTGTTTTTTTTGGTCCCAGTCGCCCCCTGCTGGTGGTAAACTACAGTAGACACAAACCCATCACATTTATCCATCCACATGAACAGTGTTGGGAAGGTGACTTTTAAAATGTAATCCCCTACAGATTACAGATTACATATCCCAGAATGTAGTTTGTAACGTAATCCATTAAATTACTTAAAGTGAGTAAAGTAATCTGAATACTTTGGATTACTTGATATTGTCGTGCTTTTTAAAACGACATGAATGTAACAATCACATCCTGAAAATTCTTGTTTGTTCTCTTCAAATTGGCCCTGGTTTAGACCTGGTTTAGTCCTGGTTTAGTCCTGGTTTAGTCCTGGTTTTAGTCCTGTTTTAGCCCTGGTTTTAGCCCTGGTTTTAGCCCTGGTTTTTTAGTCCTGGTTTAGACCTGGTTTTAGCCCTGGTTTAGACCTGGTTTTAGTCCTGGTTTAGTCCTGGTTTTAGTCCTGGTTTAGTCCTGGTTTAGTCCTGATTTTAGTCCTGCTTTAGTCCTGATTTTAGTCCTGCTTTTTTAGTCCTGCTTTTAGTCCTGGTTAGTCCTGGTTTAGTCCTGCTTTAGTCCTGGTTTTAGTCCTGCTTTAGTCCTGGTTTAGTCCTGGTTTTAGTCCTGGTTTTAGACCTGGTTTAGACCTGGTTTTAGTCCTGGTTTTAGTCCTGGTTTAGTCCTGGTTTAGCACAAAATGTGAAAACAGGAAAATACCGCTGTGTAATTCATTTATTTCAACAAAGTAACTGTAATCCAATTACCACTCACTGAAACAGTAACTGTAACTGAATACAGTTACTCGTCATTTGTACTCTGATTACATAACTCCGGTACATGTAATCTGTTCCTCCACAACACTGTACATGAACAGTGGCCTGATGGAGCTGAAGTTGCTTTGCCTCATAGTAAAATCATAGTTAAGCTCTGGACTGGTTCCTGGTGAAGCTGTATGGACTTTAAAAACACAGAGGAGCTTCATGATCTCCGTCCTTATGGTTGTGTTTGGCTCTTGCAGGTGTTCAGAGGGACAATCACCGATGCCGCGGACTTCGACCCCACCGCAGACGCAGAGGCCCTGTACAACGCCATGAAGGGCATCGGTGAGTCTTTACAACCACACGACACGACCACAGAGTCTGAACGTCCATTTCAACAGAATCATGTACATGCATCGTGCAGTTCACACTGGGAAGGATCCTCAGAAAAAGTGAGCATCAAACCGCCATGTTTGTTTTCCCAGTGGGATGCGTCTATTGACAAAGTCGATCTTTTCACGTCTTTTGAACCATATCACTTTTGTTTCTGGTTCTGATATTGTCATATTTTAGTTTTGGGATTCAGACATGTGACACTGGAGACACGATGACGTCAACCCCATGCGTCAACCGCAGCGAGCTGCTCTGTGTTTACGGAAGTTGTCCAAACATGGACGTGAGCATTGAGCACCTGGAGATTTTACAGTTCCGGTTTCCGCCTGCTTCAGCGCAGAATAGTGACGTTTGTGTCTTGTTGATAACGTGTAGGTGGATGAATGCACTTTGGCCGTTCAGACTGAAGTCGCATGTCAAAAGATCAGATATGTATCAGTTTTAGGAGCACATATCCAAGTGTCCTGGGTCACATTTGAAAAAATCGGATCTGTGCCGTTCAGACTGTCATTAAAAAATCAGATACAGGAACATAGAAGCCAAAAAATCTGATTTGGGTCACTTCAGGCTGCAGTCTGAACGCAGCCTTAGAAACAGAACAACAGAATAAACAGAGTTTTGTGCCACAAAAGGGGTCACGCAGGGTTACAAAAAACATGTGATAAAACTTAGGGACACACACTAAACTAAAACACAAGTTCCCCAAATTAAACCACATAAACCCTCAAAAAGAATCGAGTGACCAAATCAAAAAAGGCACAAAACAGAACTAAACTAAACTACACACACACAAAACAAAATGGCAGACTGGCCACCAAGACCAGCAGCCCCGAACAGGTGCTGATAATCTCCTTAAATAGGGGGAGGTGGCTGCAGGTGAGGTGGGCGTCGACCTGCCCCACCAATCACAGACCAGGGCTCCTGCAGCAGGAATCAGGAGAACTTGGCAAAAATCACACAAATGAGAACCAAAGCCTGGGGCCGTAACACAAAGACAGATTGACAGATATAAATTTCCATCACAGCTTCTTTGTGCACTTCCTGTTTACAATACAGCAGCAGCAGGTTTTCAGTGTCCATTTATACACTAGTACACAGTTTATGGATCAAATAAAAGAGCTGAAAGACTCATCACAGGAGGAGCACAACAATAACAAGAGCAGAGTAGAACCTCTCACGGATAAAACAGGAGTAAATTATTCATGATTGTTCATAGGAGAAGTTCATGTCCTTGTCAACGTGGAGCTAAGATTGTGATGTAGGTGAGATCAGGTCACAGTAACAGTGCAAAAAAAAAACAGACGTATAAACTAAGGCTGAACGATTTAGGGGGAAAAAACTGACTAACGTTGCAGGATTGTGTCTAAATTTGCGATTTCTGTATTAATACCTGGATCCCGAATTTCAGACGTCCGGTCATAGCGTGATTCATAATGGGAAGGGCCCACGGAAAAAGTGAGCGTCAAACCTCCATGTTTGTTTTCCCAGTGGGACGTGTCTATTGTCAAAGTCGATCTTTTCACGTCTTTTGAACCATATCACTTTTGTTTCTGGTTCTGATATTGTCATATTTTAGTTTTGGGATTCGGACATCGTAATCGTGTGGTTGTTGGATCCTAACAGCGGAAAATGGCTCGAGAAATTTGTTTGCGAACTTCATAAATGCAAAAGTGAATCAGATGTGTGTGACTCAAACCTCCGTTCAAACTGTTTCTCTTCCCAATGGAATTGAAAAATAGTGAAAGGTGAAGGCGATGGGCAGGATTGATCCACAGGAAGAACCAAAAAGGAAACTTTGTCTGCCTAAATCATTCTGAATTTGCAGCGAACATTTTGTATGTGGAGCGTCGACAAATCAAAATCCCGATCCCTCGCTCAACCTCGGTTACGAATTTAAAAAATTAACGCTAAAGCGAAAGGCACCAACTGTTCACCAAGAAACACCTTCCACTGCAAAGAGACCAAGACGTGATGTTTCTGTAAAACCACAAGAACAAGAAAGTGCAGCTCAGTCTGTTTGTCTTCTGCTCCTCTCACTTAACAAACAGGATTTTGTTTTGTCGTCGCTCCACATACAAAATGTTCTCTACAAACCCGGGATGATTTCTTAGTCAGTCAAATGTTTCCTTTTTGGTTCTTCCTGTGGATCAATCCTGCCCATCGCCTTCACCTTTCACTATTTTTCAATTCCGTTGGGAAGAGAAACAGTTTGAACGGAGGTTTGCATCACACACATCTGATTCACAAACTTCCAAATCCTGTTTTCTGCTGTTAGGATCCAACAACTACACAATTACGATGTCCGAATCCCAAAACTAAAATATGACAATATCAGAACCAGAAACAAAAGTGATATGGTTCAAAAGACGTGAAAAGATCGACTTTGACAATAGACACGTCCCACTGGGAAAACAAACATGGAGGTTTGACGCTCACTTTTTAACCCTTCCCATTATGAATCACGCTATGACCGAGTCTGAAATTCGGGATCCAGGTATTAATACAGAAATCGCAAATTTAGACACAATCCGCAACGTTAGTCAGTTTTTTCCCCCTAAATCGTTCAGCCTTAGTTTATACGTCTGTTTTTTTTTTGCACTGTTACTGTGACCTGATCTCACCTACATCACAATCTTAGCTCCACGTTGACAAGGGCATGAACTTCTCCTATGAACAATCATGAATAATTTACTCCTGTTTTATCCGTGAGAGGTTCTACTCTGCTCTTGTTATTGTTGTGCTCCTCCTGTGATGAGTCTTTCAGCTCTTTTATTTGATCCATAAACTGTGCACTAGTGTATAAATGGACACAGAAAACCTGCTGCTGCTGTATTGTAAACAGGAAGTGCACAAAGAAGCTGTGATGGAAATTTATATCTGTCAATCTGTCTTTGTGTTACGGCCCCAGGCTTTGGTTCTCATTTGTGTGATTTTTGCCAAGTTCTCCTGATTCCTGCTGCAGGAGCCCTGGTCTGTGATTGGTGGGGCAGGTCGACGCCCACCTCACCTGCAGCCACCTCCCCCTATTTAAGGAGATTATCAGCACCTGTTCGGGGCTGCTGGTCTTGGTGGCAGTCTGACATTTTGTTTTGTGTGTGTGTAGTTTAGTTTAGTTCTGTTTTGTGCCTTTTTTGATTTGGTCACTCGATTCTGTTTGTGGGTTTATGTGGTTTAATTTGGGGAACTTGTGTTTTAGTTTAGTGTGTGTCCCTAAGTTTTATCACATGTTTTTTGTAAGCCTGCGTGACTCCTTTTGTGGCACAAAACTCTGTTTATTCTGTTGTTCTGTTTCTAAGGCTACACTGCGTTCAGTCGTGTCACTGCAGCTTAAATGCTGAAAAGTTCACAGACGAATGTTCACACTGAACGAACCGATGCATTTGCCTGCTCAACTGTACGTTCACATAACGACCGGAGTTGTCAAAGTTGTTGTTCCGGAAGTAGAAAACCACGAAGAAGAAAACCACGGAATTAGAAAACCACAGATGTGCGGATGCTGAGCCACTTTGTATCTGTATTCAACAGAGCGAAATTCACGAGAGGCGACTTTTCAATGATTTTCAGTCGATCGAGCTGGTTGTGAGTCATTAATCGAAGCACACGAAGCATGACACATGATTCGATTTTCAAAAAGGGTCAAAAATCGCACAGTGTACCCCGGCCTAAGGCTGCGTTCAGACTGCAGCCTGAAGTGACCCAAATCTGATTTTTTGGCCTCTATGTTCCTGTATGATTTTTAATGTCAGTCTGAACGGCACAGATCCGATTTTTTCAAATGTGACCCAGGACACTTGGATATGTGCTCCTAAAACTGATACATATCTGATCTTTTGACATGTGACTTCAGTCTGAACGGCCAAAGTGCATTCATCCACCTACACGTTATCAACAAGACACAAACGTCACTATTCTGCGCTGAAGCAGGCGGAAACCGGAACTGTAAAATCTCCAGGTGCTCGATGCTGCGTCCATGTTTGGACAACTTCCGTAAACACACACACGCTCGCTGCGGTTGACGCATGGGGTTGACGTCGTCGTGTCTCCAGTGTCACATGTGGGACACTTTCGGGCCGTTTACCGTTCACACTGGAGTCACAGACAAGTCGCATTTAATTGGAAATGTGAACGACCTCGCAAAAACATCGGATTTCACAAAAAAATCGGAATTGAGCGTTAAGCCCTGCAGTCTGAACGTAGCCTTAGTTTAGTTTGATTTTCTGTATATTTTTAGTCTTTTGTTAATTTACCTTTTACCTTCCTGTTAATTAAACATTATTTAATTTATTCTATTTTACATCATGGTTTTTATTTGTGTTACTTCCCTCACCCAAACGAGCCGGGTCGTAACAGATGTGAACGTGATTTCTACCTGGAACCAGAGCAGTTATTAAAAAGTGTAAAGGCTCAGCAGACGCAACTTTGGAAACCTCGAGAAACTCCGCTGAAGTTCAGTTCTGTGTCGACTCAACGCACTCTGCCGCCGTCGTCTTGTCGCCGTTGTTTTTTATTCATGCATCTGCGTCGAGGTTTATGCGCCGCAAAGTAATTCACCGCCACAACGATAAGAGGCAAAGATTTAAAAATGACGTTTGTGTTTGCAAAACGAAGCGGGAAGTGGAGTACTGGAAATGTTTGTAACTCTAACCCGGAACTAAACCAGGTCTAAACCAAGTCTGAGCCAGGTCTAAACCAAGTCTGAGCCAGGTCTAAACCAAGTCTGAGCCAGGTCTAAACCAAGTCTGAGCCAGGTCTAAACCAAGTCTGAGCCAGGTCTAAACCAAGTCTGAGCCAGGTCTAAACCAAGTCTGAGCCAGGTCTAAACCAAGTCTGAACCAGGACAAAATCAGGACTAAACCAGGTCTAAACTTGGTCTAAACCAGGAATAAACCAGGACAACATCACAACTAAACCAGGTCTAAACCAGGTCTAAAATCAGGACTAATCCAGAAATAAAACCAGGACTAAACCGGGTCTAAATCAGAACTAAAACCAGGACTAAAACCAGAGCTAAAACCAGGACTAAACGTGAAAATATTGTCCTGAAACGAGCGGCACCGCATTTTAATAATTTCCTTGTGTGTCGGAATGGTGAAATTTTGAAAAAAAAGCTCAAGTGCCGCCACTTTGACCAAGGAAAAAAAAAAAAAAGTCTTAGTGCTTTGATAAAAAATGGAAATGACGCCACTCCGACAATTAAACGTCAGTGTTGGAGTGGCGGTTTATAACCTCGGAATGCCGGAATGTCGGGGTGGTGGTCTGTCGGAATAAGAGCTGTACCCACATATAATTTACTAGTCTCTAAGTGAACAGAAAACATTATAAATCTCAGTTATTCACAAAACAACTTTTCATTTCAGGCAGCGACAAAGAGGCCATCTTGGACCTGGTGACATCACGAAGCAACGCCCAGAGACAGGAAATCATCGCCGCCTACAAGAGCAGCTTTGGAAAGGTACGGCTTTTTGTACAGATTATAATTTGTTAAAGCACAGGTGTCAAACATGCGGCCCGGGGGCCAGATCCGGCCCTCCAAGACCTTTAATCTGGCCCTCGGCTGATTTTCTACTAAAATATTTAAATTATATTTTTTATTAAAATATTGGTAATTTTCTGCGTGTTTATCACAGCAGCGTCTCCAGCGTCTCTGTACGTGGCCCCTCCCACCAGAGCAGCACAAATGAAGACTTGTCTCTTTCCAAACGCTTAAAGTACCTGTTTAAAAATGTACTTAAAGAGTAAAAAGTAAAAGTAATTCTCGCAGATTTTGAGATTTAATAAAGCTTCAAATGTAGAGTAGAAAGAAGAAGTACAATCTTGTTTCTTAAGTAAAAGTACAGACACCAGAGCAAAGAAATACTCAATAAAAGTAAAAGTATCACATGAAAAATCAACTTAAGTTAAAGTATTAAAGTACTTGTTTAAAAATGTACTTAAAGAGTAAAAAGTAAAAGTATTTCTCGCAGATTTTGAGGTCTAATAAAGCTTCAAATGTCGTGATTTTGAGACAGATTGAAGCCAGAAACAATTCAGGCTTTTTAATTTTGTATTTTTTGTGTTTGCTCAAGCTACAAATTTGTTCAAAATAAACCTTAAACATGTCTTTAACTATAAAAACAATACTTTTACTTTTCCATCCTGTTCAAAAATGAAGTGCAGTAGGCCTACAAAGTACAAATACCTGCTCTCAAATGTAGTGAAGTAAAAGTAAAAAGTATTCAGTGTAAAATGTAATTAAGTCAAGTGTAGACTGTGTACTTAAAAGTAGGTTCGATCACGTGACTGTGGACTCGATCCGGACTCGGACGTTATGTTCCGATCAGGTATTGGAAAATTAATATACGACAGGGGTGTCAAACATACGGCCCGGGGGCCAGAAACGGCACTCCAAGACCTTTAATCTGGCCCTCGGCTGATTTTCTACTAAAATATTTTAATTCTATTTTCTATTAAAATATTGTTAATTTTCTGTGGTGTTTATCACAGCAGCGTCTCCAGCGTCTCTGTACGTGGCCCCTCCCACCAGAGCAGCACAAATGAAGACTTGTCTCTTTCCAAACGCTCTTAAAGGACGATCGTTTTGACTGTTGACCGTGACACCCTCATCAGAAAAATGTCCAACATGAGAAAAGTGGAACCGAGTGCAGAATTTTACAACAAAAATTGACTTATTCCTAATTTAATGTTAAAACACTGTGTTGAAATCGAATTTTTCTTAAAGTTTCAGGTTGTTCATAATAATATAATATTTTGTAAAAGAAAGAGTTCATCAGTTAAAAAAGATTTCTGTCATAGATTTGTGTTTCTCCTAACAAATATTTGAACTTATTGTTATTTTTGGGGTTTATATGACATGAGTTTTCTGATCCGGCCCCTTTGGGATCAAAGTCAGTTGGATACGGCCCCCGGACCAAAATGAGTTTGACACCCCTGTGTTAAAGGTTTTATATTACACAAAATAAACTCTTGTGTACATTGTTACGTCCTCATAATCAGACCTGACATTGTGTTTTGTTTGAGTAATCCTTTATTATTAGTCTGTACATCATCAAATCTCAAAATGAAGCAGTAGTTTTCAAGTTAACCATTTATTCGGTAAAGACAAGTGGGAATTTTGTTTCATTCTGATCATTTTTTACTGGTTTCAGGATCTGATCGAGGACCTGAAGTACGAGCTGACGGGGAAGTTCGAAGGGGAAGTTCGAGCGTCTCATCGTGAGTTTGATGAGGACCCCGCCTTATCACGACGCCAAGGAGATAAACGACGCTGTCAAAGTACGAGAACTTTTCAACTTGGTGGTTTTCATATTCTAGAATGTGGTGATTTTTCTGTTGATTATTGAACTTTACCATGAAATATATAAAAGGTAAACTCACAAATGTTCTGTTAGGAACTAGACCCAAGAACTGACTGTATCCCAACAGAAATCTGCATTTGAACAATATTTGTTTTAGCCGAACCCGTCTGTGCATTGTGTAACTTTTCTGGTGGAGCGTCCGTCAGATGCTTTTCTCCGTGGAGATGTTTCACAGTATGGGATTAAACCTTTCTATCTCCACGGAGACCAAACCAGACCAAGTTACAGGTCAGATCTGTGGAGAGGCGACGTCGCTCAAGTCAGAACGTCTGTTTTTCTAGGTATTTTCGAGCTATAAAACCACCTGGGATTGAATAAATGTGAAGTCGAGCTGTTTAAAGTCACACTGCGGAACATTCCAGGCAGAGCAGTGACATCTCCATAGAAACAAGCAGGTTATTGTTTTGTCTGGAATGTCCCGGAGTGGCATTAAACGTATCCATCTTGCATTTACTCAACAACATGGGTTTGTGTCGACCTGAAAACGTGCATTATAACTGTGCGTGGGCTCGCCTCTCCACAGATCTGACCTGTAACTTGACCCTGTGGTGTCCCCTGCTGTTTCTGTAGAGATAGATAATAAAAATAATGCCATACTGTGGAACATTCCAGGCAACGTCACCATGGAGAGAAGAAAATCATCTGTCAGTCTGAAACCAAAAGCAACAATGAGTGTGTTTACATGCACATCAATAACCCGGTTATGATCGGGTTTTTTGAGTATCCTGGTTTCTTGATGGTGCATGTAAACGCAGTAACCCGGTTATGGCAGTATCCCGGTTATTAGAAACCAGGTTACTGTAGCTGGTTTATTCCGATAGTAACCGGGATACTTGTGACATGTAAACGCAGTATCCCGGTTACTGCAACATAAAGTTGAGTGCGCATGCGTCCAAAAGACACTTTCCAGCCTTTCACCACAACAGTAGTGACATAAATAAATTGACCAACATAAATAAAGTGACCAAACGAGTGAAATGACTGTAAAATAAAGAGCTGCGCTAAACCTGCACACGTACGAACCTGCACTCGTGTGACGCTGAAAAGCTAAAACATGAACTATCTCCTGTACAACACACACACACATACACACACAGAACACACTCACCATCATCAGCGCCTCTTCTGTCACAGAAATAACACACATAATCCACAGAGTCGTGTCATTTAGTCCAAAAGAAACTGATCACATCAGCGGCACAAGGAGCGAGTTGTTTTTATCGCCGCTAACAGTTTATGCTAATTAGCCAAACGGTCTTAAGTTTTGTTTCTGTAAAACGTAAACAAATGTGATCAGAGCTGAATTATCTGATCAAACGGGCTGATGTGGATCTATAGTGTTTATGGTTTATATGTTGTAAAGTTGAGTTTATTTATGCAGAAGATTTTAATGAAGAATCTGCACAGTGGATTGTGGGAGATCTCGTAGCTCCTTAGCTTCTTATGCTAAAGGAAGCTCACGGTTTGTATTTTTCCTGGTTTATGAAATCGATTAAAGTTAATTTTTGCGCCTGCGCATTTGTAAGATTATGTCAAGAAACCGGGATACTCCATTTGATCATGTACACGCGAATATGAGTGTCCCGGTTTCTCAGTGCTCATGTAAACGCAGTAACACGAATACTGACAGAACCGGGATATGGATAATAACCGGGAAACTGATGTGCATGTAAACACACTCAATAACTCATTTACTTTAAAGTCAGACTGCATAACATTTCTAGTGGAGGGTTCGCACGCTGCTCGTTTCCTTGGATACTGCTTGAAATGTTCCACAGTACGGCATTAATCTCCCTGGAGAAAGCAAGCGGTGTCTCCAGGCGAATGCACCGGTCAGATCTGTGGAGAGGCAAACTCACTCAAGCCAAGAATGTGTGTGTGTGTTTTTTTTAAGATACTTTTGAGCAATAAAAACACAAGTAATGAAATAAATATAAGAACCCTCCACCAGAAAAGTTACACGGTGCAGCTTTAGTTGAAACAGAGATGATTTCGTGTGTTGTTGTTGCTTGTGTTTGTAGGGAGCAGGAACAGACGAGAAATGTTTAATCGAAATTCTGGCGTCGAGAAATAATCAGCAGGTTCATGACATGGTGGAGGCCTACAGAGACGGTGAGAGACTAAACCAGGACTAAACCAGGACTAAACCAGGTCTAAACCAGGACTGAACCAGGACTGAACCAGGACTGAACCAGGACTAAACCAGGACTGAACCAGGACTAAACCAGGACTAAACCAGGACTAAACCAGGTCTAAACCAGGACTAAACCAGGACTAAACCAGGACTAAACCAGGAAACCAGGTCTAAACCAGGTCTAAACCAGGACTAAACCAGGACTAAAACCAGGACTGAACCAGGACTAAACCAGGACTAAACCAGGACTGAACCAGGACTAAACCAGGACTAAACCAGGACTAAACCAGGTCTAAACCAGGACTAAACCAGGACTAAACCAGGACTGAAACCAGGACTGAACCAGGTCTAAACCAGGTCTAAACCAGGTCTAAACCAGGTCTGAACCAGGACTAAACCAGGACTAAACCAGGACTGAACCAGGACTGAACCAGGACTGAACCAGGACTAAACCAGGACTGAACCAGGACTAAACCAGGACTAAACCAGGACTAAACCAGGACTGAACCAGGACTGAACCAGGACTGAACCAGGACTAAACCAGGACTAAACCAGGACTAAACCAGGACTAAACTGAACCAGGACTAAACCAGGACTAAACCAGGTCTAAACCAGGACTAAACCAGGACTAAACCAGGACTAAACTAGGACTAAACTAGGACTGAACCAGGACGAAACCAGGACTAAACCAGGACTAAACCAGGACTGAACCAGGACTAAACCAGGACTAAAGCAGGACTAAACCAGGACTAAACCAGGTCTAAACCAGGACTAAAGTAGGACTAAACCAGGACTAAACCAGTCAGGACGAAAAGTTACACAATGCAGCTTTAACTTTTGTATGTGTTTCAGCGTACGGTCGAGAGATGGAGGAGGACATCATCGCCGACACTTCAGGACATTTTAAGAAGATGCTGGTTGTTCTGCTCCAGGTCAGTAGTAGTAGTAGTTTAGTACTTTAGTAGTAGTAGTAGTAGTAGTTGTTGTAGTAGTTGTAGTAGTAGCAGTAGCAGTAGTAGTTGTAGTAGTAGTTGTAGTAGTTCTAGTAGTACTACTAGTAGTAGTAGTAGTAGTATTTGAGCAGTCAAAGTTCTAGCAGTTGTAGTTTAGGAGTCATAGTTCTAGTTGTAGCAGTTATAGATTTGTATTTATAGTTTTAGTAGTAATTGTAGTACTAGTAGTTGTAGTAGTAGTAGTATTAGCAGTAGTAGTAGCAATAGTAGCAGCAGCAGCAGCAGCAGCAGCAGTAGTAGTAGTTTGGTGCAAGAAGTAGTTTTGTAGTCAATGAAAAGCAAAGTTGTAGTTGTAGTAGTTATAAAATTAGTAGTAATACGAGGTTTTGTAGTAGTAGTATTTTAGCAGTTGAAGTACTAGTACTTCAGTCGTAGGTTTGTAGGTTTGTATTTATAGTTCTAGTAGTAGGTAGTAGTAGTTTACTTGTAGTAGAAGTAGTAGTAGTAGTAGTAGTAGTAGTAGTAGTAGTAGTAGTATAGTAGTAGTAGTAGTAGTAGAAGTAGTAGTAGTAGTAGTAATTTGGTGTAAGAAGTAGTTTTGTAGTCAATGAAAAGCAAAGTTGTAGTTGTAGTAGTTATAAAAGTAGAAGTAATTTTTAGAAGTAGTTTTGTAGTAGTAATAGTTATTGTAGTATTTTAGCAATCAAAGTTCTAGTAGTAGTAGTAGTTTCGGAGTCATAGTTCTAGTAGTAGTAATAGTAGTTGAGTATTTGTTGATCTAGTCGTAGCCGTCGTAGTTTTGTTTTCATAGTTTCATAGTAGTAGTAGTTTGCATGTAGTAGTAGCAGCAGTAGTAGTAGTAGTAGTAGCAGCAGTAGTAGCAGTAGTAGTAGTAGTAGTAGTAGTAGCAGCAGCAGTAGTAGTAGTAGTAGTAGTAACATGTACTTTTGTCTCTTCAGGGGACCAGGGATGAGTCTGGGGCGGTGGAAGAGGATTTAGTTGCAGAAGATGTTCAGGTGAGACCGATATCGGGTTTTTTCACATGACCGATACCGATACTGGTTACTTAGAATCTAGGGCAGCCGATGACCGATAAGTTCTGTCGATATTTTGCCGATATATGTCATTTAAATTCACTAGAAACTCCACAAACCTTTAACAGAGCTGTGTGGTTGTTTTTCGCAGTTATCGTAAATTTTCGGTTATCGGGATTTAAGGCCGATCTCTGATTCTCTAAAAAGGCCAAATATCGGTCGCTCTCTGGTGTCAAACTTTGTTGGTAGCTGCGTTTTTGTTTTTTTGTTTTTTTCTCACCCAGTTTCTGCAGTCGAAACCGTCAAATGTCACGATGTATTTTAGAACATGAACTTTATTCTTAATTCCGCCAAATGAAAAAGGAACTGGACCAAATACAGAGTTCAGAAAATTTATTTTTGGTATTAGTTATTTCCTGTCACTGAGAAGGACTAAACCAGGACTAAACCAGAACTAAACCAGAATTAAACTAGAACTAAACCAGGACTAAACCAGAACTAAACCAGAACTAAATCAGAATTAAACAAGGACTAAACCAGGACTAAACCAGAACTAAACCAGAATTAAACTAGAACTAAACCAGGACTAAACCAGAACTAAACCAGAATTAAACAAGGACTAAACCAGGACTAAACCAGAACTAAACCAGAATTAAACTAGAACTAAACCAGAACTAAACCAGAATTAAACAAGGACTAAACCAGGACTAAACCAGAACTAAACCAGAATTAAACAAGGACTAAACCAGGACTAAACCAGAACTAAACCAGAATTAAACTAGAACTAAACTAGAACTAAACCAGGACTAAACCAGAACTAAACCAGAATTAAACAAGGATTAAACCAGAATTAAACCAGAACTAAACCAGAATTAAACAGGACTAAACCAGGAAAACTAAACCAGAACTAAACCAGAATTAAACAAGGACTAAACCAGGACTAAACCAGAACTAAACCAGAATTAAACAAGGACTAAACCAGGACTAAACCAGAACTAAACCAGAATTAAACTAGAACTAAACTAGAACTAAACCAGACTAAACCAGAACTAAACCAGAATTAAACAAGGACTAAACCAGAACTAAACCAGAACTAAACCAGAATTAAACAAGGACTAAACCAGGACTAAACCAGAACTAAACCAGAATTAAACTAGAACTAAACTAGAACTAAACCAGGACTAAACCAGAACTAAACCAGAATTAAACAAGGACTAAACCAGGACTAAACCAGAACTAAACCAGAACTAAACCAGAATTAAACCAGAACTAAACCAGAACTAAACCAGAATTAAACAAGGACTAAACCAGGACTAAACCAGAACTAAACCAGAATTAAACTAGAACTAAACTAGAACTAAACCAGGACTAAACCAGAACTAAACCAGAATTAAACAAGGACTAAACCAGGACTAAACCAGAACTAAACCAGAATTAAAACAAGGACTAAACCAGGACTAAACCAGAACTAAACCAGAATTAAAACTAGAACTAAACTAGAACTAAACCAGGACTAAACCAGAACTAAACCAGAATTAAACAAGGACTAAACCAGGACTAAACCAGAACTAAACCAGAATTAAACTAGAACTAAACCAGGACTAAACCAGAATTAAACTAGAACTAAACCAGGATTAAACCAGGACGAAACCAGGACTAGACCAGAATTAAACCAGGACTAAAGCAGAACTAAACCCGAATGAAACTAGGACTAAACTAGAACTAAAGCAAAACTAAACCAAACCTAAATCTAAACTAAACCAGGACTAAACAAGGACTAAAGCAAAACTAAACCAGGACTAAACCTGAACTAAACCAGGATTAAACCAGGATTAAACCAGGACTAAACCAGGACTAAAACAGGACTAATGCAGGACTAAACCAGGACTAAACCTGAACTAAACCAGGACTAAACCAGAACTAAACCAGAATTAAACAAGGACTAAACCTGAACTAAACCAGGACAAAACTAGAACTAAACCAGGATTAAACCAGGACTAGACCAGGACTAAACCAGAATTAAACCAGGACTAAAGCAGAACTAAACCCGAATGAAAGTAGGACTAAACTAGAACTAAAGCAAAACTAAACCAAACCTAAATCTAAACTAAACCAGGACTAAAACAGGACTAATGCAGGACTAAACCAGGACTAAACCTGAACTAAACCAGGACTAAACCAGAATTAAACCAGGACTAAAGCAGGATTAAAACAAGACTAAACCAGGACTAAAGCAGGACTAATGCAGGACTAAACCAGGACTAAAGCAGGATTAAAACAAGACTAAACCAGGACTAAAGCAGGACTAAATCAGGACTAAACCAGGACTGTGACCTCTGTGTGACCCGGTCTGAAGGAGTCTATTGATGGAACATTCCGGACGTGAGCACATTTTCTGTCCACATGATTTGAGCCTCGGCACAGAGACTCTCACTTTCACTCTTCCCTCGGATTACGAAACAGAAAAACAGACAGACACAATCACAATAATAAAAAAAAATAAATCCCAGTAAAACATTTTAAATCGACAGGATCATGAAAAAACCCAAACTGCAACGAATAAAAACAGATGAAACCAAATTACACATAGAAATTCTTAGTTATTAAACAGCTCAAATCTGATCATATTAAAGGTTGTATGGAGGATTTTTTTTGTTTCAAATTGTCAATGATAGATTATAGAGATGCAGTCGCCTTGTAATTATGATGACCAAAAAAAAGAGAATAAAAATTCATCAACTCTGGACGTGGTGGGGCTAAACATTTGCCAATAGATAACGACACTGCCTCGTTATCTGTGAGCTGACAGGCTGTCAATCAAACTCCCTACGTTTCTAGTGTAACTGACTTGCCTGCGCGCCGCCGGTACGTGGTTTACGTACGACTGTCACGCAGTCCACAGACGCAAGACGCACAGACGCTGTTTACTCCACCAACGCAACAGTTCTTAGCGGCTTTTTTTGACCTATATCTTCCTCGCAGTTCGCACAAAGTTTGTTGCAATGGCGACAAGAATCCAGGAGCAGTTCGCCGCAAAAGAAAGTCCGTTTTTGAGGTCGCTGAAAGAAGAAGACAAGGGGAAAAGCAACGAAGCCAAACTAAGGTGATTCTTGGAGATTCATTCCAGCGATGGCGCGACTGAAGCAGACGAAGGGTCTAAAGACTGACGCACTGGTCCACAAATTACTCCTGGACAGGAAACTTCTGCTTATTATGAAAACGTACTTTATTTCCAAGAGCTAGACAAACGTTTTTCAGGACACGAATGTGATATCCTGTGTCTGAAAACGTCATTTTCAAGGCAAAGAAAGAGTCCACTTGCTGCTGCGTGTTGTAACTAGTTCATTCGCACTGAATCTCCGCGCACCTTCTCTGCACCCCTTTCCTGCTCCTCTCCCCGCTGCCCGATCCGCTCTTCCCCCTGCTCCTCACTTCTCCGGGCACGGAATCTCCGCTCCCCTCTCTCCTCTCCTCTCTCCCTGCTCCGCTCTTCCCCCCGCTCCTCACTTCTCCGTCTTGTCCTAACCAACACTGTAGTTAGTTGTTTACAAGTCATGTGCAGCACCGGCTGTAAACAAACCTGTTTCTGGCGTAAGGAGGAGGCGGGAGGAGGTGTTTCTACGTAGGAGCTGTGGGGGAGGGGGGTGGTTTCACACATGCGCAACATTTGAAAAAGGACAAACAGTCGCTGGATTTCTCGTTCCTTGGAAAATCCTCTATACAACCTTTAAAACAAAAATCACCCCACACACGATAAATATTCAAGCCCAAAATAAAATACTGCTCCAGCTTTCACGTATTGGAGGATTTAGTTTTTATCGTGACATGTTTTGACAGTTTTTGTGTTTTTTGGCGTAGGACCTGTACGCTGCAGGAGAGGAGCAGTGGGGCACAGACGAGGCCAAGTTCATCATGATCCTGGGAAACCGCAGTATTCCTCACCTGCGCAAAGGTATGAAGTACTACGAATACTAATACACGCATCAAGAATTTCGGACTTCTGGTCATCGCGCGATGCATACTGGGAAGGATTTTCTGAAAAATTGATCATCAAACCTCCATGTTTGTTTTCCCAGTGGGATGCGTCTATTGTCAAAGTCGATCTTTTCAAGTCTTTTGAACCATATCACTTTTGTTTCTGGTTCTGTCATATTTTAGTTTTGGGATTCGGACATCGATAATTGTGTGGTTGTTGGATCCTAACGGCGGAAAACTACGGAAGCCGAGAGGGGTCACAACAAACGCAAATGCAGCAACAAATACAAGTGCGACAACACGACAAAAAGCCACAACAAACCAAAAAAAGCCACAACGGAAATGACCGCGAGACTCAATTTTAATGCAAACGCCGCAACAATTACAAACGCCACAACACAAACGCAAAATCCGCAACACATTAAAAAGCCGCAACACATCAAAAAACCACAACGGAAGTGACCGCGGGATTCTATTTTCTGACGGACCGATCAAGCGGCAAGTGAAGAAGAAGAACTACAACATGAAAAGAATAATGATAAAACAATAAATTACTTTTACTTACGTTTCCAACTTCTCCGTTCCTTTACTTTTCACGTTGTAGTTCTTCTTCTTCACTTGCCGCTTGATCGGTCCGTCAGAAAATAGAGTCCCGCGGTCACTTCCGTTGTGGTTTTTTGATGTCTTGTGACATTTGTGTTTGTGTTGTGGCGTTTGTATTTATTGCGGTGTTTGTATTAAAATTGAGTCCCGCGGTCATTTCCGTTGTGGCTTTTTTGTGTGTTGTGGCTTTTTGTTGTGTTGTCGCATTTGTATTTGTTGCGGCGTTTGCGTTTGTTGTGACCCCTCTCGGCTTCCGTAGAAAACGGCTCGAGAAATTGGTTTGCCAACTCCATAAATGCAAAAGAGAATCAGATGTGTGTGATGCAAACCTCTGTTCAAACTGTTTCTCTTCCCAGCGAAATTGAAAAATAGTGAAAGGTGAAGGCGATGGGCAGGATTGATCCACAGGAAGAACCAAAAAGGAAACATTTGTCTGCCTAAGAAATCATCCTGAGTTTGCAGCGAACATTTTCTATGTGGAGCACTGACAAAGCAAAATCCCGATCCCTCGCTCAACCTCGGTTATGAATTTAAAAAGTCAACGCCAAAGCGAAAGGCACCAACTGTTCACCAAGAAACACCTTCCACTGCAAAGAGACCAAGACGTGATGTTGCTGTAAAACCACAAGAACAAGAAAGTGCAGCTCAGTCTGTTTGTCTTCTGCTCCTCTCACTTAACAAACGGGATTTCGCTTTGTTGGAGCTCCACGTAGAAAATGTTCGCTACAAACTCAGGATGATTTCTTAGTCAGACCAAATGTTTCCTTTTTCGTTCTTCCTGTGGATCAATCCCGCCCATCGCCTTCACCTTTCACTATTTTTCAATTCCGTTGGGAAGAGAAACAGTTTGAACGGAGGTTTGAGTCACACACATCTGATTCCGTTTTGCATTTATGGAGTTCGCAAACAAATTTCTCGAGCCGTTTTCCGCTGTTAGAACATCCAACAACCACACGATTACGATGTCCGAATCCCAAAACTAAAATATGACAATATCAGAACCAGAAACAAAAGCGATATGGTACGGCCGAGGCAGAGCCGGGTCGCGAGCCGTAACAACGCAAACGTTCTTCTCGACATAAGGAAACTGACGAGAATTCCCGGCTCACTAGGAAATGAGGTCCTTTGTCCAAAATTCCGGACTGTCCCTTTAAGATGCTACAGGCTTTTTACACCATTTGTGGCAGAAGACCTTCTAGAGGAAACACTCTGAGGGACGAAAAGCCGAAACATCAGAGCGGAGTGAGGGTGAGGCTTTTCCTGGCGCCCCCTGGAGGCTGGACAGGACACAGACGAGGGACACTTTTGGCTCTTCCGCTCCTCAAACTGCCCCGACACTGAAACCTTTGAAAATTAAAACGTGAGCTGATTCTATTTCCTATTTCCTATTTTTTTTTGTAGTTTTTGACGAGTATGAAAAAGCCTACGAGACCAGCATAGAGGACAGCATCAAGAGTGAACTGTCCGGGGACTTTGAACGCCTCATGTTGGCCGTCGGTAAGAACTGAACTCCAAAATTTTTACAAAAAAATGTAAGGTTTTTGTGTGTTTAACCTGTTTTGCTGTTGTTGTTTTATTACAGTGCAGTGTATCCGGTCTGTGCCCATGTTCTTCGCCAAACGTCTTTACAAATCCATGAAGGTAAATCAAAAGAGATCGTAGTATTCTTTATGTTTGTGCTACTTACTTTTCTTTTTTTCTTTGGAATCTCTAAAGCAGTGGTAAGTTGGTCAAATATGTGTAAATAAATCTAAATCTAAATCTTGCCCAAGGACACAACAACAAAGTGGATAGGTGGATCTGACTGAAGATTCATTCCAGCGATGGTGCGACTGAAGCAGACGCAGGGTCTAAAGACTGACGCACTGGTCCACAAATTACTCCTGGACAGGAAACTTCTGCTTATTATGAAAACAGTACTTTATTTCCAAGAGTTAGACAAACGTTTTTCAGGACACGAAAGCGATATCCTATGTCTGAAAACGTAATTTTCAAGGCAAAGAAAGAGTCCGCTTGCTGCTGCGTGTTGTAGCTAGTTCATTCGCACTGAATCTCCGCGCAACCTTCTCTGCACCCCTTTCCTGCTCCTGTCCCCGCTGCCTGTTCCGCTCTTCTCCCCGCTCCTCACTTCTCCATCTTGTCTAACCAACACTGTAGTTAGTTGTTTACAAGTCATGTGCAGCGGCTGTAAACAAACCTGTTTCTGGCGTAAGGAGGAGGAGGGAGGAGGTGTTTCTACGTAGGAGCTGTAGGGGAGGGGAGGTGGTTTCACGCATGCGCAACATTTGAAAAAGGACAAACAGTCGCTGGATTTCTCGTTCCTTGGAAAATCCTCTATACAACCTTTAATTTGTATGAGTGAAACACACATGTACATAAATACTATCTGTTTATATGAGTGGATATACAGTAAACAAATGTACATAAATCCTGTTTGTGTGTTCAGGGTCTGGGCACTGCGGACAACACTCTGATCCGGATCATGATCTGTCGCTCCGAGTTGGACATGTTGGACATCAGGGAGTGTTTCCGTCTCCAATACGAGAAGTCGCTCTACAACATGATCAAGGTCAGAATTCACAAAAGTCCAAACTAGACCCGTCACCACAACAAGTTTTAGTAAATATAGACGATAAATGAGAATATTTAACCTAATTTGTGACACTGACACAATAAAAGCACCACAGAACTCATTTTAAATCTACAGAATTATTAAAAAATCATGAGCTGTAATAAATAAACAAGTTAGTTTGCGTCTTTAAAGAGTTGTAGAAGTTTGTAAGTAAAAAAAATGGCCAAAAAATAAAGTGGACTACAGGTGTATGACATCACCCATAGGTTTATAATCTTTTTGTGGTGACCTAAAGTTCAGTAAGTGGAAAAATCCATGTATCGTTCGTTCATTTGTTTTTCAAAATAAAACCAAAAATAAGAAAACGAAAAAACAACAGTTTTCTTCATTATTTGTCTCCAAAACCAAAATGAAAAAACAGATAATGATTTGTTTTTTCAGTTTTCGATTTTTTGTTTAAATGAAAAATGGAAAAAACAGATAACGGCCGTTTCCCGTTTACGTGACTTCTGTGACTGTGCCAGGACTGATCCAGGTCCGGGACCAGACCAGAACCAGACCAGGACTGAGACCGGGACCAGACCGAGATTGAGACCGAGACCAGACCAGGACCAGACCGGGACTGAGACCGGGACCAGACCGAGATTGAAACCGGACCGACCAGACCGAGACCAGACCGGGACCGGACCAGACTGAGACCGGACCAGACCGAGATTGAAACCGACCAGACCAGGACCAGACCGGGACTGAGACCGGACCAGACAGATTGAAACCGGGACCAGACCAGGACCAGATGAGACCGGACCAGACGAGATGAAACCGGGACCAGACCAGGACCAGACCGGGACTGAGACCGGGACCAGACCGAGATTGAAACCGGGACCAGACCAGGACCAGACCGGGACTGAGACGGGACCAGACCGAGATGACAGACCGACCGGGACCAGACCGGGACTGAGACAGGAGACCAGACCGAGATTGAAACCGGGACCAGACCAGGACCAGACTGGGACTGAGACCGGGACTGAGACAGAGACCAGGCCGGGACAAGACCGGACCAGACTGGAGGCTCAGAGCCCACGGAGGCTCAGAGTCAAAGCTCGGAGTTCACTCTGGTCCTGGTCTGGTCCTCTTCCCACTCTCTGGTCTACTCTGTCCTGGACCTGGATCAGTCCTGGTTCAGTCCGTATGCGGCGCAAAAATCCGGCATCGCAGTCACTGGAAGTCACGTAAATGAGAAACGGCCGTTATCTGTTTTTTCCATTTTTCATTTAAACACAAAATTGAAAACTGAAAAAACGAATCATCATCCATTTTTTCATTTTGGTTTTGGAGACAAATAATGAAGAAAACTGTTGTTTTTTCATTTTCTTATTTTTGGTTTTATATTGAAAAACGAATAAACGAATGATACACGGATTCGGAAAAATACATTTAGTGAAGCTTGTGTAGCCTGAAATCATCTGTTTTATGTTTGTAGGACGACACTTCTGGAGATTACAAGAGAACTCTGCTCAACCTGTGCGGAGGAGACGACGAGTGAGTGTCCACCAGGGGGCGCCATCACATACATGACACAGACGACACAGGGTCACACAAATAGTGTTGGGGAGTAACAGATTACATGTACCGGAGTTACGTAATCAGAGTACAAATGATGAGTAACTGTATTCAGTTACAGTTACTGTTTCAGTGAGTGGGAATTGGATTACAGTTACTTTGTTGAAATAAATGGATTACATGGCGGGATTTCCTGTTTTCACATTTTGGGCTAAACCAGGACTAAACCAGGTCTAAACCAGGTCTAAACCAGGACTAAACCAGGTCTAAATTAGGACTAAACCAGGACTAAACCAGGACTAAACCAGGTCTAAATTAGGACAAAACAAGGACTAAACCAGGTCTAAACCAGGACTAAATCAGGACTAAATCTAAATTAGGACTAAACCAGGACTAAACTAAACAGGACTAAACCAGGTCTAAATTAGGACTAAACCAGGACTAGAACCAGGACTAATCAGGACTAAACCAGGTCTAAATTAGGACTAAACTAGGACTAAACCAGGTCTAAACCAGGACTAAAACCAGGAATAAAACCAGGTCTAAATTAGGACAAAACAAGGACTAAACCAGGTCTAAACCAGGACTAAATCAGGACTAAACCAGGTCTAAATTAGGACTAAACCAGGACTAAACCAGGACTAAATCAGGACTAAACCAGGTCTAAATTAGGACTAAACCAGGACTAAAACCAGGACTAAATCAGGACTAAACCAGGTCTAAATTAGTACTAAACCAGGACTAAAACCAGGAATAAAACCAGGTCTAAATAAAATATGACACTAACAGTAGGTGGACATACTTTAAAGCAGCAGTGATCTCATATAAAAATCATTTCTCTATCGATAATATTTGTAATACAGTTAAGTAAAGACTGGACTTCTTATTTTCTTTAAGCAGATTTATCTTATGTTAAGATTTCCTTGTCTTTGCTTCTCTACAGTAAAACAAAAATCTGTTCATGGAGACTTCGGTTCAACAGACAATTTGAAGAGAACAAACATGAATTTTCAGGATGTGGTTGTTACATTCATGCAGTTTAAAAAAAAACATGACATATCAAGTAATCCAAAGTATTCAGATTACATTACTCACTTTAAGTAATTTAATGGATTCTGTTACAAACTACATTTTGGGGTATGTAATCTGTAATCTGTAGGGGATTACATTTTAAAAGTCACCTTCCCAACACTGATTATTACCACCAAACAGAGATAAACAGTAATGATAATGTGTTTCTATTGTTTCATAACTTACAAGCAACAGTCTTGCCAAAGGACACAACAGCAGCACGACTTCTTTTAGTCATAAATGTCATAAATCTCTGTGTATTTTTGTGTTTTCAGTCTGGCTGGAGAGTTCTTCCCTGAAGCGGCTCAAATCGCCTACAAGAGGTGGGAGATCAGCTCTATGACCAAAGTGAAGGTTTGTGCAGTAGTTCGTGTGTTAATTAGTTGTTATTTAGGTATAAGATGATGTTTATAAAGTACTTACTAATCAGTGTTGGGAGTAATGTATTATAAAAGTAATGTATTACAGTAATGCGTTGATTTTTGCTGTAACGCAGTAATGTAAGGCATTACAGGGGGAAAAATTTTAATATTTTACTCGGTACAAATGTGAGTAACGCGCGTTACAATGCTTTTTTAACCTGGATTGAAGTGGTGGGTTTTTCTTCATAGAAATTCGCTAAAATCACCGTGAAATCAGCAGCGGTGAAACGCCGGAGACGCGGCCGGATAAACCTTCAGTTAACCGCGGGTGAAAGGACCGACCCAGAACTCTACGCTGTTTAGACCTGGTTTAGACCTGGGTCACTTCTGGTTTAGACCTGGTTTACAGTCGTCCCTCGCTCTAACGCGATTCACTTTTCGCGGTCTCGCTGTTTCGCTGATTTTTAGAATTTTTTTTGTGTGCAATTTTGCATGCCTTTTGTTTTTAGTGTATGAACACGTATTGCGTTCCTCCCGCTGTGTCCTGATTGGCTGAGGGACTCCTGTCTCCTGAACAGTACAGTACAGAATATGTTCAGCTGCCAAATTTAAATAAATGTTCAATCTCTAGCAGTGTGATTCTGAAGTGCTGTATGTCTGCAAGTTTTCTCTCCGACAAAATCCACAACGTCGACGAAATGTTCTTGCACTGACAAAGTCTCCTGCGCTCACACCCAAAAGACAGAGGACGATGCAAACCATCGCACAAAAAGTTGGACTTCTGGACACGTTGAAGGAAGGTAGAAGTTACGCGCTGTAGCAGAGTTTTGCACCGGGTCTTGTACCCGCAAATAGTTGCTGAAATCAGGACCGTGAGCCCGAGCAGCAGGGTCCATAAAGAGCGATCGGGCGACAGACGCTCTTACCTCCATGAGGTGCGGAGCAAAGCCGCTCCTTTCTCCTGCGTCACCTTCGAGCCCGTCCCCACAGTGAGTCCTGTTTTAGTCCTAGTTCAGTTCTGGTTTAGTCCTCCTCTTCAGTCCTGGAATCAGTCTGAGGTTAGTCCTGTTATAGTCCTGGTTTAGTCCTGGTTCAGCTCTGGTTTAGTCCTGGTTTAGACCTTGTTTAGTCCTGGTTCAGTCCATATACGGCTCAAAAGTTCAGCTTTTTCGCAGTTATTTTGGTGAGAGTAACTTAAAGTAATGCAATAGTAATGTAATGCCTTACATTTTAAATGCAGTAATATTGTAATGTAACGAATTACTTTGAAATGACAGTAATAAGTAATAAATAACACATTACAGTTTTAAAGTAACTTGCCCAACAGTGTTACTAATATATATTAAAGGTGCGCTGTGTAACTTTTTTTTATTTTACCTGGAGATGTCATTTCTCTGGCCGGGATGTTCCACAGTGTGACTTTAAACAGCTCTACTTTACATTTATTCAATTACAGGTGGGTTTATGGCTCAAAAATACTTAGAAAAACAGGCGTTCTGACTGCGAGCGGCGTCGCCTCTCCGCAGATCTGCCCCGTAACTGTAACTCGGTCTGGGTTTGTCTCCATGAAGATAGAAAGGTTTAACGCCATACTGTGGAACATTCCAGACAAAACGATAACGTCTCTTTAAACTGCTCCATATTAATATTTTTGATTGTTCTTTTCCGGCTCTTGTTTTTAGCCTCATTTTAACTGCTCCATATTAAAGTTTATCTGTTTGTTTGTTTGTTTGTTTTTCCAGCTGAGACCCACAGTCGTCCCTGCTTCAGATTTTGACCCAGCGGCCGACGCCCAGGCCCTGAGGAAGGCCATGAAGGGCTTCGGTCAGTAAAGATTTAAAGAACAAAAACACAAAATTACAGAAAATATAAAGAAAAAAATAAATAAACTAGACACATCTTTGCACATTTAGATTTCACTTTCACCAGAATTGTACAGATATCTAAAATAATACCACTACTGTTGGAAGATCAATTTGTTCTGACAGATTTAGAATTTCTCTGAAACAAGTTGATGTTTGAATTATTTTTATTCTGAATTTTAGTTGCTGAAATTTTAAGTGTACTTTTTCAATATGTTTCAAATCCAAAGTAAACATTTCACCTTTTAAATATTCAGCACAAATATTTTCAAGTCCTCGAATACACAATACGCTGTGAAATTTACAGTCTGAAATTTTGACATTTGAATTTGAGAGCTTGAAAATATTTGTGCTGAATATTTAAGATATATTAGAGTAGATATTTTAGATTATATATATATATATATATATGTATATATAGATATATATATATATATAGATATATATATATATAATTT